TTTTTAGAGTCTAAATCTTAAAATTCTAAACCCTATGGGTGTAAATGATAACCGCATAATTTCTGCTGAATTTATGCTGAATTACAGAATTTGCTGAATTTCTGTTAAATTGCAGAATTTGCAGAATTTGCTGAATTTCTGCTGAATTGCAGAATTTGCTGAATAAATGGTAACTTAAATGGTAACTGCAGAATTTTCAAAATTTGTTGAATAAATGGTAACTTAAATGGTAAATGCGGAATTTGCAGAATTTGTTGAATCTGTTGAATTTGTTGAATGTGTGTTACCATTTAGTGCCTAAGTATAGATGCGTAACGTGTTTGAAAAAACCTTCTTTCCTCGTTAAAGCCTCCCCAAAAAAAAAAAAATTATGATCACTCTAGTGTTAGTTTCTTTATACATCATCCTTAAGTGAAATTTATGAGTTTTTAAAACCTTTTTATCATCTCCAATATAAGCATGTGATGTCTAGAAACCACTCAAGATTCCAAGACAGCTGGAACAAAAAAAAAACAATTATTGTTATAAGTATTCATTATTGCAATATTTATTTATTAGTAGGAATATAGAATCGTATCGCGTCGATATCCTGAAGTGTCGGTGGATTAGATTCATTACCCTCCCCACCTAAACCAAACTCATTAACGAGTCAGTATATACTGTATTATAGAAATTGCTTTGAAATCATTATCAGGACATAAATGTAGTAAATATGCAATTTATTGGTCCATCCGGATTTTGTTAAATCAATTAATTTTTAGATGGTTTATGCCCTGGATAGGATGATCTCTTTTACTATTCAGTTTTACATTTCTTTTTTATTTATTTTAGACAAATTTGTTAGAATTCCAAACTTTTTAAAAAATATAAAATGGTCTTTCATTAAAGTTGTGATTAATGGAAACATTAGTTTAGTCTACAATAATTTTCATGTTGTTAGACTATTGGTGGCTCTTTGTGCTTGCTGAACCTTGTTGATGTGGTCCTCCCAATCGTCCTCTCGTCTGTTCTTTTGGTGATGTTTTTTTATGTTGAAGTGTCTATTGGTGGATTGTTATTTATGGAAGGTGTTGATTTCAAGACCTATTTCCCTCGTCCAACAGATTGATGTGCTTTTTTTTCCCATTTCTTTTCAGAATATTCTCCAATCGACGATGTACATCAATTTATTGCCTCCTTTAACTAGTGAACATAGGGTTGAATATCAGTTGGAGTCTCCTCGATGGGTTGGTTAGCTATTCTTGTTGGTGATCGCATGCTTCCTGTTGTTCATTGTCTTCTTCCGATGGGAGCTTGCGTTTAACCTCATTCGTTGTGGATGGTGGTGGTAGTATTTCTTCAAATCTCGCGTCTTTGCCTTGTGGCTCGTGTTTGGTTGGTTGTACTTTTATTTATCTCCAGGTTTTGGTTTTGGCTTGTACCTTTCGATCTTGGTTCATTTGGTTAGGTAGTTGTTGGTGTCGGATTTCGCACTACCAATCCAGTCCATTTCATCAAAAGCCCACCGTCATACAAGGTCCGTGAATGTTCGAATGACCAAGTCAAAACAGTCAATTCTTGACATTAATTTGTGATTAAATTCATAAATTAATGATATTGGTCAAATCTTGGAATTCATTATGAAATTAATGCCCAAAAAGAATGAAGATTACAAAGAAGAAGATGACGAGAGAAGGAGGGGGAGAGATCTTTTCCACGAGAGAGAAATTGATATACAAAGTCATTGTTCTTCCTCCATCACGATTCACTTCATATATCATTAATAAAAATATTATTCACATTTCTTCTTGATTCTTATTTGTTTATTCTTGCATTTCATTTGGTGTTTCGTCTACGAAAGCTTTGATCCCAATTTTATTATATTGTGAATCGAGATCATTACTGGTTTTCGCACTCACAGTAGTCGTTTAGAATTGCTTTCCTCTTTTGTACTTTTATTTCCGGACGGATTTGTTTCCGTGTCGGTATGGTTACAAATTGGTTGATCCTCTACCGTCTTATCTATGTGTAATATCTTATTGTTTTAATATAATTTTTTTAGATGGAAAAAAAAAACAATAATTTTCATGTTCAAGTACCATACACCATTTCTTCAAACTTTTTTTTTGGCTAATAAATCTCATAGTTTTTACTTTTTGTTGACGTAATCTCTTATAATCAAGAAACAATCTGATTAAATAATTATTGCTCCATCGGGATTGCGCAACACTTTAAATACCACATCATATCACTTTTTCTTTTTTTTTTTTGGTCGAA